TTCTGCATCTCAATTTATCTCTTGGTTGTTGAGCACTTAGAAAGGATGAACTGCTTTAGGGCTATTTTTGGAAGTGATTGCAAGTGATATTGGGAACATTGGGTAATTTCTATTCTTATGTTTTAAATAGTATTTTATATTTCTTGGTGAAGATTAGTGATCTTTTATTGGGACATCATGTAGTCATCTAATGTAGAGTTTAGAAGCTACAACTATTTTGTATGTTTCGGATTATTTCTTTTTCGTCTTCTGACAGTTCAAAACTTAATTTGATCATTGAAGGCAATACCAAGTTTTAATTCTTTTGGTTGGGTATATTTTGTCCAATCTGAGCTGAAAATTTGGAAATAACGTCTTAAGGGAGGAAAGATCTCAGATGCGGAGTCTGGCTGTTCCCTCCAAGTTGATATTTTCGTGTTCAGCGGCCCTTGAAGGTTTTTGGTGGTGGAGTATCTTAAACCCATTTCAAACTAATGTATATTCTGCAAGGTAAGCTGCTAGATGGTGGGTGATTCTCAATTCATTCTCTATTATGCTCACCTTTTAGGATATTTTTAGTTTTCATTCACATATTGATTGGGTTTCAACCCTTCACATTTGGGGAAGTTCACTTTTTCTGGCAGTTTGTGGCTTCAGAGTAAGAAGAGAAACAAGTTTTTGGTGAATATTTTCAAATTTTTTATGTTGTTCCATGTAAAGTGGTATTGAATATGGACATGATGATATTAACCTCTTGTTTTCCTAAGAATTATTTTAACCATGGCCCCAATTGGTATGAAGCACTTTAAGAATAGCTTTGTGACTACCCAAAAGAGATTGGGTTAATGGCTTTTGCCTTAAAGCTTTTGCTACTTAAGCACTTTAAGAATAGCACCACTGACTTTGAGACTGTTAGGGATATCAAAGAGAACCTTTGCTACTTAAGGTAAAGAAATAACATTATAGTTTGGTATGCTTTTTGGGGATTTGTTTCATTACAATTTATTAGATTTGTTTTCCTGCCGTTATGATTACAAAAGGGAATATCAATTGGGACTTGAGACTACCATCCTTGTTAAGAATTATACTGTAAGTTTATTCTCTTATCTATCTGTGTAATTATATAGAATCTTCTAGGAATTGTTCAACTTACTTTCCTTTTGGGCATGGTGTGACTGTGATTGTGACATAGGTTATACTTTTTCGTATTAAAATTTGTACGTATTTTTTGTTAATTTATTAAGCAAAGTTGATTTAATCAGTTGCCAAATGGAAGGGTCATCAAAGTTGGCACTGAACGATTCCAGTCTCCTGAGGCTCTTTTTACTCCTGTAAGTGCATCGTTCTCTTCAGCTACCTATCTTCAAGAACTTAATGGAAACTTTGAATTTCTATATCTCTGGTTCTTTTGGATATTACTTTTCTTTTTAATTTTTACCTTCGTGAAAAAAGTTGGTTTCTATTCTCTTTTTGTACTTAAGAGTAGCTTGAATTCAATATTGTATGCTGTTTGACGAGTTTCAATCATCTCTATTTGCCTATTTTTGATTATAGTACATGGTTGTTCTGAAAATTTCAATTCTTGAAGGTCAGATTTGAATTCTACTAATAGAGTCTATGTCAATATATAAAGTTTCCATTAGGAAAGACTATCAGATGTTGCCTAATCAGCTTGGTATGCTCTGATAAAAAATCTTTTTTAATTGATGGTTGATCATCATGATGATAGCTGCTTCTTTTCTTTTCTTTTTCCTTCTTTTTTTGTTGAATTAGAAAGGAAATCACATTGAAGTAAAAAAAAAAAAAATAGGTTCATACAAGGAACTATTTTACGATAGGAAGGGAACCTAATATGTCAGATAATAAAAGAGGATACAAACTTAACAATAAAATTAGCTTCTCTGTGGACAAATATGCCCTGGAAATTACTCGTTAGTTGTAGGCACTCGTTCAAACAAAATTTTATTTGTTTAGTTATTGACTGTCCGCTTGGAAAGTTGTGTAGTGTTTTTCCATGAATTAGAATTCAATAATTAACCATTGGGTGTTAGCTTGAATAGTCCAAATTTCAGTTGTATTGTTACTTGTACCAATAGGATATTCGAAAGCTTAAATGCAGTGACAATTTGATTTTTTCTGTGATATTTCAGTGAGATGATTAAATGATTAACTCTTTTCAAACTAGTATTGATTCTAAGAACAATTCTAAATCTTTTTGTAGCCCTGCTGGAAAAGGTTTAGGCATCCAAGTTAGTCAATTAATGTGCTCTTTGTATCCATTTTGTTTTGACATCCAAGTTAGTCAACTAATATATTGATGTATATTTTTGCAGGTAGTGTTGAGAAAGTAGTTGATATAATTAGGTGGGTGATATTGAGAGCTAAATTGAGAATTTTTTTTTTTTTTTTTTTTTGGAGTACTTGAATCTATTAGTATTTTGTATAAATACTTTTTAAGGATGGTTAATTGATGGATATTTGTTTTGCATGTATAGAAGTTTATATTTTGTATGCACATTTTATTTTTATTTTTTTGAAGAAAGATAATTTTGTTGAGGGAAGTAATGGAAAATAATACATGAGTATTAGAATTTTTGCAAATATCACTTTCCATTTTTTGTATATAATATTTGAATATATATATATATATATATATATGAGAATATAGGTTGCTAAAACATTGTAGGTTTTTTTTTTTTTTTTGTGACGGTAACAAGATGGTCACTAATACATTGTAGGTATTTTTTTTATTTTTTTGTGACGGCAAAACATTAGTCGCCATAAGTTGATTAGGCAGTCGCAAATAGTTTGCGACTGTTATTTTGCGTTCGCAAAAAGTATTTGTCACCCCAACATTCGCGACCCCTATTTGCCGTTGCATGGGCCGTCGTAAAAGGTATTTTGCGACTGTTTTTTTATTATTTGCAATGGCTTGTAGCAGTCGCAAAAGTACTTTTTTTAGTAGTGTTATTAGCTTATATTTATATTTCAACATGTAATAGGAGGCTTAATTTGGGTGATTTGACATACTATGGTGATGGAAGTTATCTCAAATCTTATCCCCAAAAAAAAAGGTTTCTCTCAAATCCATCAGAAGAATGCTTCTAACAGCACAGAGGCCCTAATACAATATATCTCCGATGCCTGTACCTATCTCAGACCTATCCATTCTTCCACCAACTCAAGTCTCCCACTCCAATTTCATTAACCAATGCTTCCAAGTACTTGCATATGCATGTGTTTTGCACTAGTGTAGTTTTTGCTCCCAAATATATATATATATATATATACTGTAAATAAAAGAAATTGAATGACAGGACATCCTCATCTAGAGGTCTAGCCAGATGAGATCAGTAAGTTGAAAAGTGGATAGTCTATATCATAGGAAAACCTAGGCAAATATTAGCACTACAAGCAAAGATAGATTCCATGAAAAGAGGGAGCACACTGATCAAGGATTCCATTAAAAATGTTGCATATCCCAAACACAAGGTCACATCTAACACGACAAGGTTTTGAAATCAATGGAGTTGAGTTTATCATATTTAAGTTATTAGCTTACATTTAGATTTCAACAAGATCTAATAGGAGGCTTAAATTGGGTGATTTGAAATACTATGGTGATGGAAGTTATCTCAAATCTTATCCCCCAAAAAAAAAAAAAAGTTATCTCAAATCCATCCCAAGAATGATTCTAACAGTACAAAGGCCCCAATACAATATATCTCCGATACCTGTACTGTACCTATCTCAAACCTATCCATTCTTCCACCAACTCAAGTCTCCCACTCCAACTTCCTCCAAAAAAAAAAAAAAGTATCCCACTCCAACTTCATTAACCAATGCTTCCAAGTACTTGTGAATTTGAACCCTAAAATCCACTTCACTTCATATGCATCCATACAAACACCACTATTTTATATTCCAACATTGATTTATCAACTTCAGCCGAGCCAGACAGATTATGCATCTACAGGCCAATTCCAACCAAATTCTCAAAAAATTCAGCTAATGTATACGACGTATGCCTATTCGTTGATCAATTTCCCCCTCCCCCATATTCCCATGACCTCTAAAATTCAGACTCATACTGTCCCATGAACATAACAAATGTTAACTAGGTTAGGTAGCTAAATCACGTACCAAATGTAGCTGCCATTTGTTAGTATCGAATAGTGTATTCAGGAAAGAAGATCCCTCTACTAAGCAATCATTATCCAAAAGATTTCCTAAGCTCTTCACAAGAATGCAATAAATTTTAATATAAGAGCTAAATATCTAAATGAGATTAAAAGTTCAAAATAGTTCAGCTACCTAAGATTTTAAGGAACAGGCTGGTAAAATTTCTCCAAAAGAAACTAGATGATCATTATTTTAGGATAGTAATTTGACTAAAGTTATATTCTTATTTATATAATAAAATTAAAATTAAAAAAAAAAAAAAAAAACTAGCAGCTCTTTCAGGCGTATTCTGTAATCTGTTCAACCAAATCAATGTAAAATAGCAGTACTAGATTGTTTGAGGAAACTTATATCAAAACTTAACACAGTCCTGGAGTGGCAAACTCAAAAGCTACCACTCCCACTATACGTTTCTGGAAAGCACTAGGACTTGGTTGCTCTGAAGAGTAGATATTCTAGCGGCCATTATGAAAACAATTAGTTTAACGTTATGAATGTGTGTTGCTGACCGAACAAGGTTGAGTTATCCTCAATGACGTTAACCCTCTCAACCATGCTGCACATTTCAACTAATAATACAAAGAACAGATTTCAAACCAATTGAGTTTTGAGTTAGCAATACATGCAGATTAAGCTAATATATTCCCCCCATATACTAGAAAAAAGAATTCAAACTAGTAACCCAGTACCTTAAAACTAAACTACTCACATTGATACGGTGAATTCCAACGAAACTAAGCACGACTTGCATCCAAAATTAGACAAGTCTCAACTTAATTCTGTTAGCTCAATAATCAAAATGAGCTAATTTTAAATTAAAAAATCAAAATGAACATAACTTTCAACAGTAAATACTTAACCATATCATCATAATTAGCCCCAAAAATCTTTTTTTTTTTTTTTACAGGAATCAGACCATCAATTTCACCAAATCAACATAATTCAACCAATCTCATAAACTACTTCAATCTCATAGTCATATCTTATAATTAAGTAACACACAGGCAGAGCTCAGAATTTGCACAATCAATGCAAAAACGCATAAACAGCAGTAGATATATAAACAATAAGTGCAGAGGTCACCAGTATAATCAACGCCGCGACAGCATGAACCGTCGATTTGCTGCCGCAAGAGAGAGTCCCCAACCGGATCTCAATCACATTCACCATCGAAAGCATCAAGAACAAGCACCCCATCACCGATCCAATCGCTGAAGCCAACATTCCGAATCTGAGAACCTTGAAATTAATGTGAGCCCGAAATGCCTCATCGACATCTTTGCTGTTCAAGAGATTGATTGCAAGCTTGAGGCCCTGAGCGACTAAGGAGGAGAAGAGGAAGAAGCTGAAGGAGACAACTTCGAAGACTAGAAGCTTCTTGGCGGCGGCGACGCCGGCGTCGCAGGCAGAGGGGTTTTCGAGGCTGTGTTGGTTTGGGGTGGTGAGAGAGAGGCCTACGAAGACAGCGATTGTGAAGAGTGAGTTCACGTTTACGAGGCCGTCTAGGGCTGTGACGTGGACGCTGGTTGTGGAGGAAGATGAGTATGGGTTTGAGTTGGTTCGTCTGGTTTGTTGATCGTAGTATTCTTTTGGGTATGATTCGGATCTGAAAGAGAGGAGAGAAATTGAGTTCAAATTGTTAATTATTTACAAATCAAATCAAATCAAATCACTAGAGAGAGAGAGAGAGAGAGAGAGAGAGATTACTCATCCATGATTGATTCTTGGGTCTGTGAGAGAGAGTGATGATTGTGGGATGTTGTTGTTTGTGTTGCTTGGAGGGTTTAGGTTGGTTTTCCCTGAAGAGGAAGGGAAAGTGAGTGTTTGCTTTGCTTTACATTTGTTTGAGGAGGTTGCTTTTTCGGAACATACTGGATTGAGGAATTGGGAAGTAGGGGAAAAGATTCAGAAATATGTGCGCGTGTTTTTTAACAAGAGAGAGAATATCATTGTCTAACGTAAAGACTTGCCAAACACTTTTTTGACTTTAGCTGTCTCGGCAATGTGAATGTTATATGCTCGCAAAATAAATAAATATATTAAAAATTATTTAAAATTTAAAATAATTTATAGCTCCTCTTTTGATTTATAAATTGGCGATCCAAACAGAGTTTAATTGAACTTGGACAACAAACCAAAACCAACCTATACAACAACTGATGCAGCTCTTAAAATGTCATCAAGCCTTTTAAGGAGCTTGCCCATTGCATCAAATCTTTCCTGAGACCTATATGCCACAATACCCTCTAAACACCGTTGTTCAATAATACACTAACTTTTCTATAACTGGTCTTCTTCCTCATCTTCAACTTCTTTTACATTTGCAACTATTTCTTGGATACTTTTTGTAAGGTGGCTGGTGTGTTGTTCTATATCTTTCAAAACCATGTCCAGTTGCTTTTGACATTCTGCCAATTGTTGGTTTGCACGTTGAAGCTGCGTTGATAACTCCCGAATTTTCTTATCCTTTTCATCCTGCACAGAGGAAGGAATACGCGTTAGAAACTGTTTTATGGGTAAAACAGAAGATTTAGAGAAGTGGAGTCGTTGGCAACTGTAGCCAGTTGTTTCAAAAGCATACCCAGAACACAACATCAAAAGGTCCATTCGATAACAGAAAAATCAAGAGGAATAGGAGCATCTAGCCAAACTTAATTTTTTTTCATTTTAAAGTTGTTTGCTTTGTATACAAATGCTACTGTGAACTACTTAAAGAATCTCTTTCCATAAAGAGTATCAGTTTACTTCAAACACAATACAAATATGGGGAAGCTTTCAGTAACTCTTTCACTCAGAAGACAATGTATGCCTAACAGCATCCAAAAGAGTGAGAACAAACAATAAACAAAACCTGATTATTGGCTGATTAAATTTAAAAGACTTCCTATCATTTTTAGTATACAAACCGAAAAATAAACTAGTCTCTAGTTTCATGAAACTAAAAACTAATTCTGAGTCTCTAGTCAACAGTCAGAAAACAAGTAATAAGTGCAATATCCCATTTAAACGGAGCAGATCCATCGCATTTTGTGTGCTTCATAAACATGAGAGAGCTGCATGAGAGTCATAGTGGATTTTCTTGTCATTTGAAATTGAGAGAATATCTAAGAGAAGCACAAGCATTGACAAGGAAGAAAGGAGCAAAGTGAGGTGATATAGAACAAGTTACAACCGAACTTGGCATCGTCACATGTTTTATACATAAGATATATGTGGAAGGGCCAAAGAGGAAGCTATTTTATAGAACTTAGTCTCTCATTGATAAACCTATTTTCTATCTGCCCTGATGTTCTCATGTTTCTCTTGACAGGATCAAAACATTAAGCCTTGATTTTTGTTTTATTAATTTATTTCTCTGCACGTTGCATTACTACACTGGTGCAGTGATCACAACTTTGTAAAGGATGAGAATGCAAACAATAACATGATCAAGTCTGTACCTAATCCATCCCTCCAAGTATTCCACCAACTGGATAACGATCTTTTTTTTGTCATAAAAAATGTGTTTGCATCAATTGTATGTCATGCTGAAACCACCGAGTCACCACAGGTCAGATAACTGAAACTTACTAGAAAATTTATGTAGGGGTAATCCTAGCATGTCTAGAGGAAGCGGCATGATATAAAGTTTGTCTGGGTGGTGTCATTTACTTGAATGTTAGGCCTGAAATGTGAGCCATTTATGAAGTCATCAAGAAGACAGGAGAGCGCATATGGGAAATGGAGAACAATTGGTGGAAGTTACACATATTGTTGCAATGGCTAAGAAAGGACGTCATGTCTTAGAAAAAAAGTAAAAGGCACTATAAAAATAATAATAATAATAAAATAAAAATTTTGAGAGAAGAAGACAATCTGAGAAAACTAGACCCAACATTATTATATAGTGAACGAAACAGTAAAGATAGAGAAATTAATGTGAATGCTTGTGAAACAAAAGAGAAGTCATCATGCTAATGCCTATCACAAAAAAGAGAAATCATCATGCTAATGCCTATCTCAACTAACCTGAGGCCTGGCCTGAATTGTACCACGACGACCCTTTCCAGCAGGTATCCCCAATGGGTGACTATGCTCTGTTTCAAGTTTGGCGACTATCCATTTCCCAGACTTCTCTTTCCTCACCATTATCATTGCCTTGCATCCTTCCCTAGTTATCTCCCTTGGCTTCCTAACTTCGAGCCTCTTTACTTTCTTATTATTTACACGAAAACCTTCTTTGTTACAAAGAAACCTACGGCTGATAACTGACCCATCACGGCTTGAACGATGGCAATTACCGACACGAATGACGAAACCAACACGCTTTGCATATGCATCATAGCACGCCATGGCAGCCTCTTCGGACTCAAACTCCATTCCAATACATGGTTCCACATTACCATCTATTTCATGAACAATCAAATCTCTTTCATCATATAAATTGAACATTTCTCCACCCTCTGACACACAAATCTCCCTTCCAACTGAATTTTCCATCATCTTGTTGTCCATATCTGCATCAGGCATTCCAGGCTCTGCAATCATTTTGTAATGCTCACCCATACATGTTGAGAAATTCACTGCTAAAAAAATGTGAATCCAGTCAATGTCCAAATCCAATATAAGAGCAAAATTTAAAATTATGTAAAACTCAAATTCATATAGGCATCAATAAACATAAAGAGGCTGGAGCATTTACACTTTGTTTCCTCCTTAAGGAAAGCATAAGTGGTGCACCATAAAAACCCCATAAGATGACATCATAATTATGTTGTCCCTCCATATAGAATGGGTTCTTGATCCTTACATAATATAGATAAATTTTCTCCATAATGAAAAATTATATAAAGAAACTGAGTGATCTGATTGACTACCTATACAATATAACGCATAGAGACTAATTTCTCCCCTCCGGTGGCCACATTCAATAGAGATTTCCTACCAGATTTACATGTTTAAAAAAACCATCATTTTACTTTTCTTCTAAAACTTCATTTAGTACAAAAATATCCAAAGCAAAATAAAATAAATTCCACTTCATTGCAAAATTACTTTCCATTCTTTATGTATTTTGTGAGAATGAGTATCAGACTGGAATGCCATTTTCAGTTAATCAAATTGAATATATTTTTCTTTTCTTTTTTTGAACGGAATCAAATCGAATATCTGATATCATCAATTTAACCACAGCTCCTACGACCTTCAAAAGGTTGGAGAGTGTGATAGATCAGGAAACTGGGTAACCAAGCTACACCGCCAACCAAACGTCAAAATGATAATTTTTCCATCATTGATCTTGAAAAAGTTACTATACTGAATTTCTCTAGCTAGTATTATAAATCATACTATACAAGGCTCTTTGTGAAAAATTTATGCTTTTCATCCTTAATGGCTCAGGCATAGTTTAAACCTAGACGGTCTCTCCAGCTTGTTTTTCAGGGTACATTGAGGGAGGGAGGAACGGGGGAGTCAAACTCGTGGCCTCCTAGGCCCTGTTTGGCAAGTGGATTTTTGGCTTTCTTTTTATTGCTAAAATCCACAAAAATATAATAAATCAAAATATCACATCAAATCTATAATCATTTTATATTTTCTCTTACAAACAACATATCTAACTACAAAAACATTCCACCATCTTTCCAAACATAAAAATTTTAACTTACTAAAATAACCTACTAAAATAACCAACATCCCAAACAAAGCCTAAGTCTCAATACTAGTAGTGACGAACACGGGTAGTCGCCACTGGGCAAAACCCAGTTGTTTTTTAGGTGGTCTTTTAAGCTAACCAATCTTCACTTAATAATCCATAGATTCCAGAAAGAAAGAACAACCTCACATAAGAAGAAACCAAGAATAAAATAGAAATGGAATAATTTACACATTCGGTTCACATAAAAACTTTCCTATGTATGAATTGACTACCTAATTACCTTCTCTGCCTAGACCCATCACGATTATTTCAATTGGGGCAAAAAAAAAATCAGTGAAAACACTCCTTCAATAATCTTAACAGACCAATCCTAATGATTCAAAAATGTGCATACAACACACACACACACACACAACAGAATTCAGAAAGAAAGAAAAAAAATTGTCATTTTTAATCAATTCGAGCTTCCCAGAGTGATTGAAACCAGAATCATCTGCAAGATTCTGACACTACTCTCTGGATAGATTCCTTGTGCTCATAAATAGTGAATGAATCGAAGCTTTATATACAGCTCTAAAGTAAAAAGTAGAGGAAAAAAGGCCAAGGAACTCTGTGAGTTCTAGGGTTTTTCTGAGTTTGCATCCGTTGTTCTTTTGAAATTTTAATATATTAATAGTTTACTTTTTCCATTAGAAACGATCGTGTGGTTTCAAGGTAGCATAATAGAATGAGAGACAGAGAGAGAGATTACTTGGGGTGGTTAGCTTCGCAGCCAGAGGCGACTCCGTTCTTTGTTACTACCTCACCTTACCAACCACACACGCTGCTACCACTTTCAAGACCCAATATAATATAATTTACTTCAGGTTAATTTATGATCCAAAGAACTTTTGATTTTAATTTTTAAAATTAAGTTTTTTTGAAACTTAAGTTTTTTTATTTTTAATAAATATTTTTTAAATTTTAAATAATTTCCCAAACGGAGGCAAAATAAATGAAACAAATTAGTATAATGCAGTGTGTGTTTTGCAAGAATGCGCTGGAGTCTTCAGATCATCTCCTTTTATTATGCAACGACGTTTGGAAAATCTAGTGTGTCATCGTTCAATGGTGGGGATTTTTGTGGGTTTCTCCCTCAAATTTGGTAACTTTTTCAGCATGGTGGTTTTAGTTTAAAAATGTACAAAAGAATCTGTGGGAGTCTCTGTTCTTTGCAGTCTTGTGGACTGTGTGGTTATCTCGAAATCGAATGGTGTTCGAAGGCCTCGACTAATTTGGGAAGAGGTGGTGGACTAAATGTGGGTTCGGTTTTAATTTTCTGAATTTATTTTTTTTTAAGTTAAAATTTTTTATTTTTTATTTTTATTGAATTTTTTTAATATTTTAAATAATTTAGATACATCTAATATAAATGCATTTAAAAATATAATATTTGTGAAAAAAATACTTAAAAATTCACTAAATATCAAAAATACAAAAAAAAATATATGAAAATTTAGTATATTTTTCGTATTCTTGTGTATTTATTAATTTTTTAAAATATTTTAATTTTTAGATACATCTAAGTTTAGTGTATTTAAAAAAGTAAAAAAAAATGCTTAAAATTTTAAAAATATTCACTAAAAACAAAAAAATACAAAAAATAAAAAATAAATAAAACTTAATTTTTAGAAAATTGAAACCAAACACAAAGAATAATTTTCTAATTTTCCATCAAAATAAAAAATAATAATTTTCAAATTCAAAAATTGTCTACCAAATTTGGTTTAGATTGGACGGTGTTATAGGTCTTACAAATCATTTTGCAATTATAAATGAAATTAGGATATCCAAGAAACAAATAATTTTATTTTTTAACAGCAAATTACAAATTAATGAGAAGTAAAGCAAATATTTACAAATTTATAAAGGTATGAGTGTGTGCGAATGAAAGATGTCTCAAGTCACAACTTTTGCGTTGAAATGTAGATCCACTAACATGTTCGTAAAATTTGTAATTACTTATTTCATTTTTCATTTACTTAAAAAAATTTGATTTTAATTTTTTTTTTTTTTTTTCCAGAATTCATTAGTATGGCTTAGTGACTCTTCATCTTTAAAAAATAAATAAATAAATAAATAAATTATAATGTGCCCACAAATAATACTTGACAAAAAATCATTGAAGATGAGTTTATTTACAATAATGACAATGTCATATTGTCTGAATAGAATTTTCCTAAACAGATCTAAATTCACACACCATCTCCAAAAGAAATCATCAAAATTCTTATTTCTGGTAATGGTTGGCTGAGGTCTAGCCCTTCAAGTTAGTCTTTGTTCATTTCTTCTCAATAAATTACAAAAATATGGAGAATAAAAAATAATTACAAAGAGAAGGAATCCATTAAAAACCCCAATCCCAACCCTCTATCCTCCCTTCTCTTTCTTTATTTTCCCAACTTCTTCCCCCACTGGCCACTCCTCTCCTACCCTCCAAAGCTATCGTCCACCCCTTCCTCTCCCCCACCCAATCCTACCACTGCCAGAGCTATGCCACCATCTCAGCTTCACATTGCTATGGTATGCAAATCACAATTTCAAAATGGTGAAACCTGTTGAATACAGTGTTCTTGTTTTTATTTTCACCAATATTCTCCACAAGAGCAAATCCCATTTTCAAAATGGTGAAACCTGTTCCGATCTCTCACAACAATTTTTCTCCTAGTAATCTTAGCAACGAGCTTGAGCATCAAATGACAATCATTGCATACTCTCAGATTTTTCACAACCCTTATAGTGGTATACGGTTCAGTTGAGATTAGCCCATAGCATACTGCAAGCCTCTCACTGTGTATAGCTAGAGCCCATTCTTTCTCATGATCCACAATATCCTGTAAAACTCTATCTGTTTCTGGAGAGTAGCCTTCTAATCTCAGTAATTGACTCAACTCATCCAGCTTCTTGTAGATCGCTTCCTTTTCACGGTGTCTTATGTCCCCCAATAGAAACTCATGAACCTCATTCTTCACTTCAATCAAACTACAACCTGGTTCCTTTTGAATACCGGCCAACTTAATTTTCGCCCTCACTTGTGCTGCCTCCCCCCACTTCCCAGATGAAGCATAGACATTAGATAGTAGAACATATGTACCTGAATCAGCGTCTCCACAATCTAGTAAAACTTTAGCTGCCTGTTCTCCTAGTTCAGAGTTTCCATGAATCTTACAAGCACTTAGCAAAGATCCCCATATAATGTGGTCTGGTGCTGTTTTCATGCTTCTAATGAAGTTATAAGCCTCTTCAAGACGACCCACGCGCCCAAGAAGATCGACCATGCATCCATAGTGCTCAATTTGTGGTTCAATCTTATAATTTTCAGTCATAGTTTCAAAGATTTGAAATCCCAACTCTACCATGCCCCCATGACTACAGGCATTCAACACACCAACGAAAGTAATGTTCGTTGGCCTAATACCGTGCTTCACCATTTGTCGAAACATCTCTACAGACTCAATGCTCTTTCCATTCAAGGCAAGCCCGGCAATCATGGAATTATAAGTAGTGACATCTCTCTCTTTCAGCCCCTCAAACACTCGTTCTGCCTCATCAATACTACCACATCTCGAATACATGTTGATCAAAGCAGAACCAACAAAATGATTGAGCTCAATCCCATATTTCCCCACATAGGAATGAACCCACCGTCCAAGCCCTAACGCTCCCAACTGCGAACACACAGATAAAACACAAACGATTGTCACTTCATTCGGTCTCATCCCTTCCCTTTGCATATCCCTAAACAATTCCAAAGCTTTATTCATTTCCCCATTCCTAACAAACCCATCAATCATAGCCGTCCAACAAACAGTGTCTTTTGTCTGAACCCCATCAAAAATATTCCTAGCTTCCTCTACCAATCCATGATCTACATAACATGATATCATAACGGTCAATGCAACAATATCTCGTTCAGGCATTTCATCAAACACCAGCCACGCATCCTCAAATTCACCGCATTTTCCATAGAGTTCAACAAGTTTCATCCTCACTGAACGACTTGAACTCAAACTAAGCTTCAAAGCCTGTGCATGAATCTCTCTACCCTCCTTCAAACCCAATTGAGACCCACATGCCTTGAGAACCGAACTGACAACATAGTTGTCAGGCATGACACATGCCTCAACCATTTGAGAATATACTCGAATCCCATCAAGGTAAGACCCAGACTTTACAAACCCATCAATGAGAGCAGTGTAGAGATAGACATTCGGGTTCTGAATCTGCTGGAAAACCTTGGAGGCGTAATCGATGGAATTGCAATTAGAGGAAACGCGAAGAAGCTCGAAAACGATAAAGGGGTCTTGTTCGTGGCCGTTTCTGATGATTTGAGCGTGTATTGGAGTGATTTGGTTGATGTTTTTGCATTTCTGCAACAGATAGATGATTTGTTTTCTTTCTTGGGAGTGTTTGGTTCTTGGACTTGGATTTGAGTTTGGCGGGAGAGGATAGTTTCCTACAACGGCCATTCTGCAATGGTGACTCATCCCCCAAACGTGGTATAAGAAAAATACTTTCTAGGACTCTGAAAAAAAATCAAAAATTATTCACTATTTGGTTTCAATTTTCTGCAAGTTGGGTTTTTTTTTTAGTGAATATTTTAAAAATTTTAAATAATTTTTTTATTTTTTAGATGTACCTTAGTTAGATGTATCTAAAAAGTAAAATATTTATAAAAATATATTTTAAAAAATCAATAAATACATAATAATATGAAAATTTATTGAATTTTCAATTATTTTTTTTTGTATTTTTGGTATTTAGTGAATTTTTTAATAAAAATTCACAAATATTATATTTTTTAAGTATATTTATGTTAAGTGTATCTAAAAATTAAAAAAAAAATTCTTAAAATATTTTAAAAATTTAGTAAAAACAAAAAACATGAAAAAAAAATTAATTAATTTTCTAAAAAGTGAATCCTAATAAAAATGTTTTATATCTCAAAATTTAATGTTATCACAAATTATTATTCCGAATTCAAATGTGATCTATAAATTTACATTTTTAACTAATTTTTTAGGCATATAGTATTATTATTTTGAAGAAACATTCCAACCACCGAGTTAAGTGTTGGTTTAACCAATTCTCTTCTTTTTATGAATCATCACTTGCTTAATGCATGATGAAAGAAATTTATGTATAGCTTAGATTTAATTCTTAAGTGGTAGAACCTCCATTTAAAATAATTTCAACTACAGATTATATTTTATGAGTATTTTTTTAGTAAAAAGTTTTGAGTTTGTAAAAGTGCTTAAAGTTTATTTCACAAAACTCCAAAATTTGTGAACGCTTTCTTGCTTACTCAAGACATGCGGATGCAAAGCAGGCCTACCCAATTAAGGTTTCATACAAAACAAAAAATGATTTGTAAGTGCATATCGAAACCCAAGTCAACAGATCTGAGGAGAAGAAGTTCAGCCGATCTAAGGAGAAGATACGAGAGCAAAGGTGCGGCAACAAGCTCGGCACGGCCCAAGGCAGCGGATTGGCGAGTAGCAGTGGCGGGATCGTCCTTAACTGCATCTATAGAGGGTGGTATGGACAGAGGGAGGATCGTCCTTAATGAGGCTGAAGCAACACTGAAATTGGGGGAACTCCTTGGGGTGAAGCTGAATGGGAAAAGGGCTGAAGTGTTGGAGAAAATAGTGGACCTTGAGTTGAAGGATATGGACCGAATTGCAGGGGGGGTGGGAGTTGGGGAGTAGGTTTACCAGCTGGGGGGAATTTGGTGAAGTAGTGATGTTCTTATGAAGATTTTCTCATGCAATGTTAGGGGGATGGGGAGGAAGGAGAAGAGAAGCAAAATTAAGAAGATTGTGATGGAGAGACAAGTAGATATTGCCCTGTTTCAAGAGACAAAGAAATCAAAGTTAACTGAGGAAGACGTCAGATCAGTTTGGGCAAGGGGAAAAATGGAGTACATGGGGATGGATGCTGAAGGCTCTGCAGGGGGTTTGTTGTGTATTTGGGATCCTGATATATTCCAAATTAAGGAATGTTGCAGCAACAGAAGGTTTATATTATTATCAGGTACTCTCCTTAAACATTTTCATTGTACTATTCTGAACATCTATGCTCCTAATGATGTGGGATCTAGAGGGAATCTGTGGAAGTGTTTGTTGAAGCTGAAGGAGGAATTTCTGAACCTATGGTGTTTAGGAGGGGATTTTAATGAGATTAGGCAGATTGGGGAAAGAAAAGGGTGTTCGAGGAGAGATAGAGGAATGGAAGATTTTAATGAGTTTATTGACAAGTGTGAGGTTTCTGAATTACCATTACTTGGGAGGAGGTTCACTTGGTGCAACTCTAGTCTTGGTGAGAAATGGAGCAAAATAGATAGAATTTTTGTAGACCCAAAGTGGATTGAGGTATTTAATTTTAAGCTGTGGGGTCTTCCTAGACTGCTCTCTGATCACTGTCCACTTCTGTTGATGGAGGACGAGAGAGATTGGGGTCCAAAACCCTTTAGGGTATTAAATGCTTGGTTTTTACACAAAGATTTTCGGAAGTTTTAGGAGTTGAGTTGGAAAGAACCTAGTGTCCTAGGCTGGGCTGGTTTTATTCTGTTTCAAAAATTGATGAGATTGAAAGGCAGCCTTAGAAGTTGGAATATGGAGGTCTTTGGCAATGTACAAAATAAACTAAAGGCAGCAGAGGGTGAACTCCATAATTTTGATATCTTGGCTGAAGATAGAGAACTTGATGGTGCCGAAAAAGTTAGGAAAAGTGATGTCAGAGCTGAGATGTGGAGGTTGAGTAGGATGGTTGAATGGTTATGGTTACAAAAGTCAAGACTTACCTGGGCAATGAAAGGGGATAAGAATACAAGATACTTCCATGTGGTTGCAAAAGGCAGAACTATTAGAAATGAAATAAATTCTATACTAGATGGGGAGGTGGTGGTGGAAGATCCGGGTAAAGTGAAGTGCAAAGTGTTTAATCATTTTAAAAATCAGTACACAGAGCATTGGTCATCAAGACCTGTGTTGGGGGGTTGCTTCTCAACAGTGATAGGCAGGGAGAGGGCTGGTTGGTTAGAATCAGATTTTTCAGTAGCAGAAATTAAATCAGCAGTGATGGATTGTGATGGGAATAAGGCTCCGGGACCGAATGGGTTTAATTTGAGGTGTTATCAGAAGTTCTGGAAAGTCATGAAGGGTGATGTGGTTCAATTTGTGAAAGAATTTCAAACCAATGGGAAGTTGGTGAAGGGTATAAATAGTTCATTCATAACCCTTATACCTAAGAAAGAGAATCCAATAGGGCTATCGGATTATAGACCTATAAGTTTGGTGAGTTCTATTTATAAGATCTTAGCAAAATTGTTGGCTAATAGACTAAAATCTGTATTGCCTCATATCATTAGTGAATCTCAGTCTGCGTTTCTGAGTGGGAGGAATATTTTAGATGGAGTGTTAATAGCTAATGAAGTTGTAGACGGATGGAAGAAAGCCAAGAAGAAGGGGTTACTTATTCAGTTAGACTTTGAGAAGGCTTATGATTCAATTAATTGGGGTTTTCTATTCTCAATGTTATCTAATTTTGGGTTTGGAGCGAAGTGGATTAAGTGGATTAAGGAGTGTGTAACAACTGTAAGGCTCTCGATGCTTGTTAATGGATCTCCTACGGAGGAATTTAGCCCACAAAGAGGTTTGAGACAAGGAGATCCTTTGTCCCCTTTTTTGTTTAATCTTGCGGCTGATGATCTTCATAAGTTGTTAAGCCGTGCGTCCCAGTTAGATTTAATAAAAGGTGTTAAGGTAGGCCATGACGGCGTCCTGTTAACGCATCTCCAGTTTGCAGATGATACATTACTGTTCTGTGAAGCTCAGGTAGATGAAGTGAGAAAGTTGAAAAGGGTGCTTAGGTGTTTTGAAATTATGTCAGGACTCAAAATAAACTTCCACAAGAGCGTTGTATGCGGTGTGGGTGTTTCCAACGAGCTGTTAGATAGCTATGCTGCAGTGTTGAACTGTAAAACTAAGGCATTACCTCTAAAGTACCTTGGGATGCCATTAGGTGCTAATCCAAGGAAGAAAGCTACATGGAAACCAGTGGTGGATAAAGTCAAAAGCAAGCTGGCTGGTTGGAAGAGAAAGATGTTGTCATTTGCAGGGCGGTTAACATTTGTCAAATCGGTAACTTCAGCATTGCCAGTGTACTACTTATCTTTGTTCAAGTTGCCTGAAGGGGTAGCTAGAGAGTTGGAGAAGATTCAAGCTACATTTTTATGGGTTGGGTCTGCCTCGGATAGAAAAATTCATATGGTGAAGTGGGAAGACTTGTCAAAAACAGTGGAGAAAGGTGGTTTGGGTATTAGGAAAGTTAGGGATGTGAATAACTGTTTATTAATTAAATGGTGGTGGAGGTTTGGCTGTGAAAAGGACACTTTATGGAAAAGAGTAATTTGTAGCAGGTATAGGTCGGAGCTTGATGGATGGATCCCAACTTTTTTCCCATCTAACAGGCACTCGGGAGTTTGGAAGGGGATTATTGCAGTGGCTGAGCAGTGTAGTAGCCTCAAGGAATTTTACTTGAATAATTTTAAGTTGAAGGTGGGAGATGGAGGAGAATCAGATTTTGGACTGATTTGTGGTGGCAGCCTGTCTGCTTGAATGATGAATTTCCAACCTTGTTTAGGTTGGCTGTGGTTAAAAATGAATCCTTAAGAAGTGTGGTTGATAAGAGAAATGTAGTGGGTGGCTGGTTCTTTGAGTTTAGAAGGGGGCTATATGAGTGGGAAGAGCAAGAGTTGACAAGGCTTTTTGAATATCTGAGGGGGGCTCCTGTTCAGTGCTCAGAGGGTGTTGATAGGCCTACATGGTTAGGTTCATCTGTTGGGATATTCACAGTGGCTGATCTGTACAGGAGGGGTGGGGTGACATGTTGGTATGGTGGGGTATCCAAGCTGCTATTCCAGGATCGGTGGAAAGTTTATTGCTGTGGTGGGCAGGGGAGAAGCTAAAGAGGAAGGAGAGGAAGATCTGGAGGGTGATTCCATTGGCAGTGATGTGGTCTGTGTGGAGGTGCAGGAATGAGTGTGTATTCAAAAAAACTATCCCAAATCTGGAGTACCTTTGTGAATTAATTAAATATAGGGTTGCATTTTGGTTGAAGCATGTCTTCAGTGAGTTTAATTTTTTAGTCCAGGATTTTGTGTTTAATCTGAGGCAGGTGAGGGAGTGCTTGGGTAGGTGTGGTGGTATGGTGTTCTGAGCTATGGTGTTCTGAGCTGTGGTGTGCTGACAGATACAATACTGTTGGTGGTATGGTGTTCAGTCCAGTACTGGTCTTTGTTGGTAGGGTTTAAGCTGTGTTGCTAGGTGTAAGCAGTACTACTGCTATGTTATTTTGGTGGGTTTTGACAGATCAATGCAACGGGTTTTGCTGCCTGGTGTAATACTGTTCTGCTGTGTAGCTCTGTTGTTCTGCTGTTTTGCTGTGTAACACTGTTTTGCTGTGTAGCTGCCATCAGATAGGGTGTGCTGATCGGGTTTTGCTGCCTGGTGTAATACTCAGTTTTTGTGCCGTTAAGTTATACTGAACAGGTGTGTAGGGGTAGTGTGGGAGGTCTTTGGTCTGATGTGGAAGTCTGTACAGTGGAGCTTGATGAAGTTGTTCATGCTGGATTGTGTGGAGTTAATTGTTTCAGTTCACAGCCGGGAGTTGTAGTTCTATTTGAGTTTTTCGGTGTATGCTGATAGCTCTATTCTGCTGTAGTTCTAGTTCAGTTGTAGTTCTTCTCTTGTTATTGTTTTTTTCTTCCTCTCTGTTGGTTGGTTCCTTACCACCTGGCGCTTGGAGTTTCGCTTTAGCTCTAAGCTCCTCTTTATTGATGTACTATTCCATACTCTGTATGTTGCCATCAATAAAGATTTTTTTTGCCGATCAAAAAAAAAAAAAAAAAAAAGTCAACAGATCTATTTGAATTGGATTGAATAATGATCTGGTTGCTACATGCCAGGGTTAGCCAAAAATAAAGTCAAGCTATAAATGAAAAACATAAAATAAAATACGCTAAATTACACAAGTAATTTTGGACGATTATGCGTTGTTATTAAATGAGAAGATTATTAAAATATAAATAAATATATCATTTTATATAAAAAAAAAAATTTGTATAATGACAAGAAAGATGAGCAAAAGCGGTCTGTCAATGTTAATAGTACCTCCTATAATCTATTCATTCAAAAATTAAAAAAAAAACACTCGAAGCAATGAGTCTGTCAAAAACATGTGTACCAGTTGAAGGACTTCCTTAAACTATGTTCTTCCATAGGAAAGAGAATAAACATTTTACTCCAAACAAACAACTAAAACCAGCAAGATCACTTTGACTGCAGTTCAAGCCAGAAATACTATTTGATCTGGTTTGGCTCATGAAGATCATATGAATACTTTCGATGTAAAAGAGCAACCTGTCACAGAGAATTAAAGAATAAATAAAAATAACATGATGTAAAAGAGCAACCTGTCATAGAGAATTAAAGAATAAATAAAAATAACATATAGAACAGTCCATTCTATATTTCCCAATGGATTGTAGTTGAATACCTTCAAAAGCAATTGGCAGTAACATGTTGAACAGCACACCAGCTGGAGCTTTATAATGAGAAAGTTGGACCTATGCAAATGTGGAGAAGCATACACTGTAGATCTCCGTTCAAAAAAATACACTGTGGATCTAGATGGCAAGCTTTTCAGAATTATCTAAATATACTCACAGTAAACATGCATAATTTTATTTTTTTTATTAGTTAAAAATGCAACACAAACTCTTAGACATAGTTTCAAGATTTAACAAATCCCGACACACACGGGAATTAGAGTTCTGACAAAAATAAATAATACAGATGTTGCTGAGACACAGATGTATAAATAAACAAATGCATTACAATAGAATCATTTACTGCCAAACTTCCAACATGAACTGTCGTATAATTTTTGTTCACAATGCTATCAAAAATTGCAAGAAATTGGTGTCTCATTACCAGAGGGTAATAGTTTTTGTTCTTTTTTTGATAAGCATCTCAAGAGTATAATAATTGCCAAAAAAAGAAAAAAAATTTACAAATGTCCTACGCAAGGACTTCATTGTTGATCAGTTACTTGAAAGGTAAGGTGTAAGAATTTCATCACACAACTTTTCACAACAAAAAGTCATATTCCACAAGCATTATGTCTACTAGGGTTCCTTGTATCATTACATGATTAGTCCTGAAGTGTTTTGACATGAGAAGATTGGTCACTGATGCAAACAAGCTTACCATTTTCTTAGGTTTTTCCATGCTAGTATATTAAAAAATCATGGCCTGGGAAGCACAAGATCAGAAGCAGTCGTGTGTCATACAGATGGGTGTATGATACAACTACACACCCATTTTTGGAGGTATTTAAATGCTCCATTCACCTCAAAGCAATCAAACCTATTTTTTTTTTTTTTTTTTGATCGGCAAATAAATCTTTATTGATGCAAACATACAAGATATGAAAAGATACATCAATAAAGAGGAGATGGGAAACACAACTCTAGATGGGAAACACAACTGGTAATATTTGTGATGCTTACTTCAACATAAGAGAAGATGGGAAACACAACAATAGATGATTTCCTGTTTCTACACAAAAGCCTATAACAATGTCAGCCACTAAGCAGCACATAAATAAAACAAGGCACAAACATACCTTATATATCTGAGACAAGCAGCATTTGGAAGCAAAACTCAGCTCTAGCCTCGGTCTGCAGAACTACCTCACACCTTATACAAGCAGGTATTGGTATGTTTATGCTGTTTGATTTTGCTGTTGCTGTTATTGTCTCTGCTGTTGCTGTCTTGCTGATAGCTCACCAACTTCTGAGGATTAGTACTTGCAAATGATAGCGTTTGCTTTCCAATGTCAACCTAGTTGGGATGGGGTTGTTTTACTGTGATGCTTATGCACTTTCCTTTCCGCCTCCCCTCCCCTTCCCTTCCCTTCCCTTTCCTTTCCTTTATTGATGTATCTCATAACTTCGTAATTGTGTTTTCATCAATAAAATTATAAACATTGGTTTGTTTATATTGTTTGATGTTGTTGTTGCTCTCTGTTTGATTTTGTTGTTGCTGCTATTGTCTCTGTTGTTGCTGTCTTGTTGGTAGCTCACCAACTTCTGAGAATTAGTGCTTGCAAATGATACGGTTTGCTTCCTGATGCCAACCTAGTTGGGATGGGGTTGCTTTACTGTGATGCTTATGCCCTCTCCTCCCCTCCCCTCCCCTCCCCTTCCCTTTATTGATATATCTCATCACTTTGTAATTGTGTTTTCATCAATAAAGTCTCTCTTTGGCTGATCAAAAAATAAAACAATATAAACATTGGAAGCAAGAAATACTAAAAAAGAAAATAAGACATCTGGGCAACAACAATACAGACAATACAACAACATAAACATTCACAAACACGACACAATTATTATAAAGGAAGATAGTGTTGATCAGGCAGCTGCTTTTTAAATTGTTATTGTTGTTGAAGTCCTTTTTTAATATGTAACAATTTAATCCAAGGGAAAGAAGACCAGATTCTACAAGAATTACCCTCAATGAATTTTAATTTTGTCTTCAAACAGTTATGTAGTTTTTTTTTATTTTTTCCTTCATAAATTTACTCTACTTTGATCTAAAAAGGCTTTGTTTCAATGTTAAACAGATGTTGGAAACTAAAATACTAATCATCCCACAACCAATATTTCAACGAAGTATCTATACATCATTATTGAAATATACATATTAAGAAGCACGGACACGTATACGGATACGAATGCGGACACAGATGCAGACACAAAAAAAATGGAGACACGGATACGGCAATAAAATATATTTTCACATATTTTTATTTGCTATCTAGATTAATATTACATCCACAAACAATCAATGTTAACAAAAACTAACTCTAATCACTTACAGTTTATATATTTTTTTATAGATGATCTATTAAGTATTTAAATATAAGGAAAAAAAATAATAAACATTCAACATACATCAAAAGTATTAAATAAAATGGGAGAAAAGACAACTTGGCATGTTTCTAGTGTGTCCCCGAAATGTCCCCTAAAAATAAATTAATAAATTAGGAGACACGCCATATGGTGTGTCCCATACATGTCCTCGAAGTGTCCGCATATTCCCGAAGTGTCAGTGTGTCCGACACATATATGGCACTTGTTTTGAAGTGTCGGTAGTTCATAGGATACATAGTCCTACCAATGATGATAACATGCGACAGTAGATTTAAAATGACTTCAATTCACTTCATAAATGCTCATCTTGATTTTATTTACCAAATTAATTAATGTAAGATTTTATCACACTATGGGCGTCAGTTATGTTTATTAAGTCCTGACCACATAATGGGAAATGATTGTAAAATTGATATAATCACAATTTCCAAGTGTCACAAGCAAAAATAAATCATATTACTTGAGTTTTTTCCTTTTGGATCTTTGTCTGACCAAACAATTGAAGTAATAACTTCAGATAACCATCATGTTTCACCTGTAGATATCAGAATCTATTGGCCAAAAGAAATTGAAAATCATAATTATACATAGAACTTCTAAAATAGATAAATAAGATAATTATTATTATTATTTTTTTAAATATTGGATTCTTAACTTATATTAAGGGTGGTGAATAGTGGCAGAGAGAATAGTAGTCAAGTATTTTATTTGAAGGAGAAAGAAAGAAGAAAACGACTATCATCACAAGGGCCTAGCAAACTGATACAGTCGAGCAAAGAGCAAGTAAAAGTAAATTCAAGTTGCTAAATTGGATATTGCCATAATTCCAAGGTGAGGCCTCTAGGAACCATTTTCATCACAATAGGCATAAATGAACCGTGCATAGTAAAATTACTAGTCTTAATAGAGTGTTATCTGTGTTTAATTTAGGTCAATCAAGTTGCTGGTCTGTTTTTAATAATTCTTTTTGGTTATTTTGATAATTTGAAGAAATTTTGGAGTTGTGCGGGTAGAGATCATCCATGGGGTAGTGTGGCCAAGTTATTTCACAAGGTCTCCAAATCATGTGTAGTAGTTGAGTTCATATAGGTTTTAGATGCCAGAATCCTACCATTGTTTGAAAGACCTAATCTTAGATGGTGTAAGAGATCTTCAATGTTTGTAAGAAGCGATATAAGGTTGTTAGACAATTACTAAGGCTTTTGGTGGGGTTATGGAAAACACCACCTAATCTGCTTCATGTGGTTTGAAAGAACTGGTGGTTTAGGTTAGGTCCAACACAATAGCACACTAACTATCCACACCCCACTCAAGATCCAAAACACTCAATGTCACTATAGCCGTCCCCCAACCAATACCATTGGCACTTCCCCCGACTACCCTCCAACAACTACAGTTCAATCATCCACAGACCACATCACATTCATATCTCTCTCTCTCTCTCTCTCTCTGTGATTTGTAACCTATGCTACACGGACTCGAGTACGGATATCGGGTACGAGTACGGGTGCGGGTACGTATCTAGGAGTTGGACACTTCAAAATTAAAAATTAAGGATACGTGGATATATATCCAAATTTAGATACGGGTACGGGGATACATTAAATAATTTTTTTAAAAATATATATATTTATTATATGAAGATGAATTATATTATATAAATAACAAATAAAAATTATTTTAGATATAAAATAAATTATATTATATATGATAAAATAAGTTATTTTTAATTTAGACATAAAAATTATATTATTTATGAAATATTACACTATATAATTTTTTTTGGATGGATAATATTATATATTATTATATTAATGTAATGAAATCTATACTATATGTTAATGTAAATGTAATATGAAATTATATAATATGAATAATATTATATATTATTATATTAATGTAATTTATATTATATACTAATATAATGTAATTTATATTATATACTAAGAAAATAGAACAGAGAAGACAAGAAAGAAGAAGAGAGAAGTCAAACAGATAGAAGAAGAGAGAGAGAGAGAGAGAGAGAGTAGAGGGAGATCGAGATTGAGAGACGAGAGGAGAGGAAGAGAGATCGAGAGACGAGAGAGAAGACAGAAAAGGAGATCGAGCGACGAGAGAAAAGACAGAGCAGGAAATGGAGATCGAGCATCGAGCATGTCGAAGCTGTCGAAGCAGCGACCAAAGGGATCGAAGTCGGCAACTGATGTCTTCACCGTTTCGACAAGCGACCAGGTTTTCTCTTGCTCTCTCTTTCATTTCTTTTGTTGTCTGTAAAGAGCCGTATCCGAGAGAGAACAGGCAAATCCGACACAAATCCCACACCCGCACCCGTGTCGTGTCGACACGGGTACTTCGCCCCAAAGTGCCGAGTCCATGTAACACAATTTGTTACTCCCACACTTAGATCCCCTCTTGTTTCTTCCCGAACCATCGACCTTCATTTCTCTCTCTCTCTCTCTCTCTCTCTCTCACCAATTACCACCAACCATCCCCTCACCCCCACTGTAACACCCACCCACTCTACTCTCTCATCTTCTTTCCATTCTATCTCTCAGATCTATAATGCATCCTCTTCACTTCCCTTTACAGTCCTCTGGAAAAATGGGGAAAGTAGAAGGACAACAAGGAGTAGCAACTACATGTGGTTTGATCCAAAATACACAATCAAGCTCAACGGTAAGCTCTTTCTTAAGCCATTCTTTTGTCCTAGTTAAGATTTGCTTGTGATGATTTGAAAAAATGGGGTCTTCCATCTTTCATATTTTAACTTTTAGTGGCTAAGAATTGATTTTTGTTGGGCATTTGAAGTGTATAAAGCAATTTGCCCAACCCGCTGAGTAGAAACCACCAAAGTAATTGCCGGATTTTAGTTTGTGCAATTTGGCAGCAAGTAGAAAATTTTTCAAACCACCATCAGCCGGATTGTGCAAAACCCTAGCTTTTTAAGTTTTTCTGAGAATAGGTAATGCATCGCTTGTGTGATGCCTAGACTTGTTCTTAGTTTTCTACATTTTAAAGCTTTGAAATTCCAAAACCAGATCAACATAAATCCCTTTTTAACCTACCAACATCGTAGCTTTCAAGCCAAATACCTTTGGTTCCTTCAACGTCTAACATTTGGTTCCTTCAGTTACTAGGATGCAATTAATAGCACATAGACAACCTTAAAACTCATTCTATTATTTCTTGCTACAGTCCCAAAATGCTAGGACCTTGTTATACCTATTAAAACCCTAAAATCAAAAAAATTTCAACCATTCCAACCAATAGAACTTGTTAAGATCAGCCCCTTTTGTTGTTACACCTCCTAAATGTTGGTCTCCCCATTTGTACAGGAAAGTTCTCCCCACTTACCCTACATCACAAAATTTCAAAAATAAATCTCAAAATTTCCTAACTGAATTCCTCTCTAACAGAAACACCAAACAAATACTTTTAGGTTCTAGGAGTAGAACTTAACTAGATGTCCACACGTGCTACAAGCAAAAGTCGTGATTCCCTTTTAATTTGGAAGTTTAGCCTAAAGAAGCTAAATACATAATAGTCAGGAGAAGTGGACACCATAAAAGTATGGCATCAATTTTGGCCGTTGACATATATCAATTTGCACAATAAAGTCTCAAATGGCCATGACAAATGTCTTAGTTAACGTGAGAAATTCTAAAGAGTTTAGTCACACAACTTGTTCATCCGTTCTACTATTCCTCTCTAACAGAAACACCAAACAAATACTTTTAGGTTCTAGGAGTAGAACTTAACTAGATGTCCACACGTGCTACAAGCAAAAGTCGTGATTCCCTTTTAATTTGGAAGTTTAGCCTAAAGAAGCTAAATACATAATAGTCAGGAGAAGTGGACACCATAAAAGTATGGCATCAATTTTGGCCGTTGACATATATCAATTTGCACAATAAATGCCGATCAAAAAAAAAAAAATGTCTTAGTTAACGTGGCCCTAAAGGCTATTAGGGTAGTGAATTACCATGACTCTTAGGAAGGCTCAACTGAGCTCTAAAACTTTAATTAGACGACGTCAACACGTGATACAAGCAAAAGTCTTGATTCCCCTTTTAATTTGGAAGTTCAATTTCTAAACCCAATGAAGCTAAATACATGATAGTCAAGAGAAGTGGACAACACAAAAGTATGGCATCAATTTTGGCTATTGCACAATAAAATCTCAATGGTCATGACAAATGTTATAATTGACGTGGCCCTAAAAGCCATTAGGGTAGAGAATTGCCATGACTCTAGAAAAACCTAAGAAGCACGGACACTTCTAAGAATGTGACATATCTGTATCGTATCCGTGTTGAACACCGATACTCTTTGGACACTTTCCCGACATGTGTCCAATACTCTTCAAAATGTGTTCTATTTTTTAATTTTTTTAACGACTCGGACATTCTCTGAACACTTGGAGGACACACATCTATCGCTTAAGCCTTAGTGGCAGGAATCGTGCAACCAGGTGGCGATTCTCAGTAAAAATCGCGAACCCGCATTTCCTAGAAAGAAACATGTAAGAATCGCGTTTCTATGGAGAGAGAAACGCGATTCAGTCCAAGATGGAATCATAAAGAGGAGAGAGAGAGAGAGAAACCTGGTCTCTCTGTCGCCTTCTCCTTCGACATCGACGTCGACATTCGACATCACCTGGACCTGCGACATCGACCTTCGATGTCGACTTCGCCTTCGATCTGCTCGCGATCTGCTCTTGCCTTCGATCTTCTCGCCATCGACTTTGATCGACGTCGACTTCTCCTTCGGTCTTCTCATCATCGCCTTCTTCTTCTTCTTCTTCTTCTTCTTCTTCTCTCTCTCTCGTCGATTTGTGTTCTGTCTGTCTCCCCCCTCCCGTTTTAAACATATAATAAATAATATAATTTGTTATATAATAAATCTAATTAAATCAAATATAATAAAATCAAATCAAATAAATCTATAAAACAAATCATCCAATTTTTATCTTATATTTATTTTAACATATTTTATTATTCCTTATTTATTATATTTTTTATTTATAATATATATCAATTAAAAATAAAAATAATTATATAAATAAATTAAACTTAAGATACAATAATAAAACAAAAAAAAATATAAATTTATAGAAATTAGTATCATATTGCATTTTTTATTATCTTTGAATGATATATTCATATATATATATATATATAACATATAATAAATATATAAAATTATATATTCCGTGCATATTTCTCACGTGTCGTGTCTTGCGCTTTTTGAAAATTAGCGTGTCAACGTATCCATGTCGTATCAGTGCCGTGTCACATGTCTGTATCCATGCTTCTTAGAGGAAATAAAGCCCTCATTTTATAGTACCATGGAAGAAGGTTCTATTTTCACCAAAGTTACTCAAGAAACCAACCATATTTGGTCAAATTACTATGAGATATCCTTAAGCCGGTTTCTTCTTCTTTCGTGTTGGCCTAGTATATCCTTCACCTTTCATCACATGAATAATGAACGTAATATTATGAGTATCCTTGTGAATGGCATTACAATTTAACAATTTACAATTAATCAAAATAAATTGATCAATCTAACCATTAGCTTACCATAAAATTAGCCATGTACACCTTGGATATTGTGAAAAAGAACACTAGTTTGTCTAGGTGGAAAGGAAAGAAGAAAGACAGGTGAAGGGAAGATAATAAAAGCAAAAAAAAAAAGAAGAAAAATAAAAGAAAGGTAGACAATGTTAATTATTATTTTTTTTTCTCTTATCTATGTGATTATGATACGACTTGGAAGAGAAGATAAGTGAAAATAAAAGAAAAAAAGGAAATAGATGAGAAATTTTTTATTATTTTGCTTTGGTAGTATAGAGAAGAAGAAAGAAGAAGATAAAATATAAGTACAAAAACAACACAAAAAAGTGAGAAAAAAGGGAAAGGCATGCAAAACAAAATTTAATGAATGTCCCTTGGTTGGTTGAAAATAGGTGTAGGAATTTTATAAATGATCTCTCTCTCTTTTACTCTTCTACAAAACACATTATAAGACAATACAAGGATACCTTGTTGCTACCTCTTCCGCCATCATGATATAAACTTTACCCACATCTACAGTTATAACATTTCTAAATGCCATACCTACTAGTCATTTCTTGATTCCCCATACCATAGTATGTATACTAGTAGTTGCATGTCAGTACCTTGCCAGAAGCCTGGTATATTCTTCCACTTCAAGATCCTTCTTATTTACCCCTCTCCTTTCATTATTCACCAATTCTTTTTGGTTCTCTACAGGGTTAAGAGTAAATACATTGCCACGCTGCCAATAGGTTCCCCCATTCCCTCAAATAACCAAATATAATTCACAAGCCAAGAAATGGATATAAACCAAGAAAATTTAGGACTGAAAAATAAATAACATCTATCATATCTACATAATAACGGTTCACCACAATGACTATTAAACCATTATTTGATAGTTGCACAAAGTAAATTAAGGCCCATTATCATTATCCAAGAAGCACAAACATAGACTTGTGACAGACAAGGACAACGTGACACAATAATGTTTAAAAAATTGCAAAACACAATTAGTCGAAAACATGAGCAAAATATAGAGTTTTTCATATATTTATTACCATGGTAGTTAAAATCAAGTTATTACGAAGAATCGATAAGAGGGTCTCATGGATCAAATTGTAGTATCATATGGAAGATTGTAAAATTCTACTTTTTATTAAAATAAGATAAAAACACAAATAAGGATAATGCATATTAAAAATAAAGTGAAAAATCATCAACCAACGATTCTACCTACGATCCTATACAATTCCCACCAATTCAACAACAATTTGGATCGTTCTGGCATCCTACAATCTGGATTGCGATTTTAACAACCATAGTTACTATAAGTCAATCATATATACGAATATTTTCTTTAAAGATGATAAAAGACCGCAACATAAAAATAATTTCTAAGTTATAAAGGAGGGATTAATATGTCATAAATCTATATTATTTTCCTTAATGATATGCCAACCAAACTCAAGGACAATCATTTAAGAAGCACAAATACTTCTTAAAAGGCAACGTGTCATGTTCGACACCAACATGACTTGACACTATACTTCCCAACACTTGAACACACATGAAACATATTACAAGATTGAACAAAATAATTTCGAATTCAATGATAAAACAAAAATAATATAGATTTAAATCTATTCTCCTCCTTTAGACTTTATAAAATCTTATATTTAAAAATATCCACATATATGACATAATAAATATATAAAAAAGAAAACAAAAACTAAAATGCAAAGGAAGAGAATTTGCCATCCCCCTCATCCTTAACAATTCGTTGCATTAAAAAAAAAAAAAATTAAACATAGACACATAAGCAGCTTTTGAAACACAACAAAGATCATATACCAAATTGCAGAAGCTAAATAGCTGGTCTTAGATTTACCATTTTCTAATTGTAAGCACAATGCAGGTAAACTAAATTCAGACCATGGGGCAAGGTTATAATCACCTGCTGGCACAAATGAAAGGAAGCACAGATGAAGAGGAAACAGGCAAGCCTTGACAAGCAAATCATGACGACGATAGACAGCACGCTTGTATACAATCATGTCCACACATGAATGCTGACGAGCGTGCTCTCTCTCGTCGTCAAACAATTGTGCATCAAAGCTTGGGATAGATCTGCATTGAAAAAAGAAGACACAAAATAAGAAACAATCAAACAGGAAATGCTTACCATAAAGTTGTAATTCCTGTTCAATGCCTTCTTGACCTTGCAACCAATGAAGAGCACAAGAGGATGATCACTAAAATTATGAAAAAATAAATAATACCCACAGTTCTCAGCACAATCAAACTCTATAAACAAAAATTAACACCCTTACTAGAGAGCATGCATGATCCCAACTCTTCCAAGCATGAAATCAAAACTGTATACTGACAAATCAATCAATTAACTTGGTCAATGTAAAATCAAGATTTCTTTACTGCAAAAGTAGTATTATCACATGCAGTATAACATCCAAGGACAAAATAAAATGAAAATCCAACAAAAATATTATATTGTCCAGCTTCCTATTAGGTAGATCATCAAAAACATCTAAATTACAGTTAACAAAAACCAAACATAATCCATTATAAAACAATAAGGATGTCAGATCTTCCAACCACAACACCAAGAAAGGATAGCCTAACTCAATATTTCATCAAAATCAGCATAGAGACTACCAATTTCCACCCAGTTTTCTAATCATCACAAAGACAAAGATGAAATATTTAGTATATTTCCTCCACCATCTTAATTCAATCAGAAGCAAAAGACTAAAAAGGAGAAACAAAAACTCCAATTCCAAACCCAAAAGCAGTACCCAAGAAAAAAAATGGAAAAACATTTATATAAAAAAATTAAAAAAACTCAACCAAAACTAGATTTGGTTTTAAATTTTAAAAATAAATAAATAGATGGGACTAGGTAACTTACAATCGGAATGTGTTCCAAGCATAAAACTTTAAGAAAACCTAAAGTCAGCCTTCCAATAGCAAAAAAAACAAGAACCAAGCTAACAGAAGAAACACTTACAACTTCTTTAAAACCCTAGTTCTCAAATAAAAGATTTTAATACGGAAACCCTACACATGAAAACTTACAAATTCCACCATATGTATAACTAAATATATATATATATGCTCATTCATTGGTAAAAACTGTTTTTACAAAGAGTGGACAAAAAGTTTTCGCTGGATTCCCAGATCTGCAGTCTTGAAAATGCGCATAAAAAAGAAAAACCCAGAAACAAAGAAGCAAAAAAAGGGAAAGGGATTGGATGAAGCACCTTAAAATCAAAGATAACACACTGCGATTCAAGATTTTGCACAGAGAAAGACTGTATATATGCGTGAAAGCGATTGAGTGTTCTACAGAGAGAGAGAGAGAGAGAGAGAGAGAGAGAGAGAGAGAAAATGCGAGAAAGTGGCGGAGTGTTCTGGAGGGCTCAGGTGGATCCTCCTGCTGGGATGAAAGATGAAATCATGAAATCTTGGGAGAGCCAACCGATTTATTCTTGGATTTGTTTCATCACCTGAAGATGAACAGTGAGAGCAACCAACTACCCTAACATTTTTATTTTAATTTTTTTTAATTTTTTGCTACCCAGTAAAGAGGATAATGATTGATCATCTTCGCCTTTCTTTTTCTTTTTCTTTTTCTTTTTCTTTTTATTATTATTGATGGGACCATCTTCTCTTGTCACACAAAAAAATATAAGTATATAATGTGCACTTGAAATTCAAGTTAAGCCCGGTTTAAAAATATGTTATTTTAATTTTTTATTTAATTTTTTAAAAAAGACATATAAAAGAATAAAAAACAATAATATGATAGAGGACAATGTTTTATTGGCTGTTTAAGCCTAAGATTGGCTATTTTAACACATTCAAAATGTGAATCATAGTTAAAAAATATATTTAAATTACTTAATATTTTATGTATTTTAATTTTATGTATATAATATTTATTGTATCATATATAGGTAAAATTCTCATCTAGGTAGAATTTCTCATTTTATACATTATCAGACAAACATATTAATTGGATTTTTCTTAACTAGGTGTTCGAATTAATTTGTGCACGTCTCACTAATTATAGAACCCTGAAATTAATAATTGGGCAAACCTTAAGGTCTCATTTAGCAACATTACTTTTTAACCTAAAAGTCAAAAAGTCATTAAAAAAATCAAAAAACTAACAACCTATACCAAAAAGTAAAAGATTTCTTTTTCTCTTTACTATTTGCATATCTTTTTATAAAAAATTAACAAATCATCCCAAACATAACTACAAATTTAAAAAATTACTAAAAAACACTATTCTCAAACGAGACCTGAGTCATGCCATCAAAGTGTCTAGAACTATAAGAGCATCTCCAATGGTTCATTAGTTTTTTCATCAAATCTAAGTTCAAAAAAAAATGATTTCCTCTATTTGATATCACCTGCTCCAACGGAGAAATTTAGCTTTTCATCAAACTACCAGTCGACTAGGCGGACGACCGGCCGGTCGACCGGTCAGACAACCAGCCAATGCAGAAAATGAAAAACTAAGAAAACAAAGAGGTGGTCGACTGCCTAGTGTAAAATTTTCACAAAATTTTTGCTTAAGGTGGTCATCCGGAGGGATGTTCGACCGGTTGTCCAGTGGGACCCACCTCCAACGTAAACGCACATTGTTTTGGTGAAATCTATTCCGCTTCTCATTTTGGTGAAACTTTTGGTGAATTTTCGAATTGATATTCGCTTGGTGAAACTGTTGGAGCCATAAAAGTGATATTTTTTCACCAAATTTAAATTTGATAGTGAATTTGATTCATCGTTGGAGATGGTCTAACTTTTATTTTTATGGTCATGTCTTTATTGCTCAATTGTCATTAATATCTGGTAATGTATATGCACCATGTTAGATAATAAATAAAATGTACAAATTAAAAGGGATAGTTTTTCAAAAATGTTATGTATTATAAAAATTATTTCGAATTTTACCTTAAAAATGAGAGTTGATTTCGGAATATACTATTTTAGTAATCTTTTGTCTTTTGGTTATAATATGAGGTGAAAAAAGTTAATATTTTTAGATTTTTTTGGCTTTTTCATGAAAAAACATACAAAAAGTAAAGAATAACTGAAATCTTTAATTTTTTTTTAATTTTTTGACTTTTTAATTTTTTAATTATTTATTAAATTTCCCAAACCAACATTAAGTGTGTGGTATAAATTTTAAATTAGCGAGATGCAGGTTATCCCTATAATAAATGGAGACTAAATCTATTTAGTTTAAAGTTTTTAAAAATATTTTAAAATTTTCAATTCCTATTTTTGTACTTTTAGTAATTTTTTTAAATATTTTAATTATTTTTTTCAATTTTTAAATCCACTTAATTTTGATATACTTAAAATGTACAAATTTTTTTAAAAGCTCATTGATTACAATAAAATATGAAAATGTACTGAATTATATATCTACATATGTATATATTTGACAATTGTTTTTCACAAATATTATATTTTTTTAATGTATTTAGATTAATTGTATCTAAAAAATAAAAAATATTTAAAAAATTATTAAAAATAGAAAATATGAAAATTTTAAAATTAATTTTCAAAAAAGCAGGGATAACTGCCTCTTTTTTTTTTAAAGATAAATTTTTGATTACTTTTTCTGACTATAATATTGCTATATATTTTTGGTTTTTGGATGAGAAAATATTTGTAATTATGCATCCATAAAAGGGTCGGAAAATGTGGGTACAATTTTCAGAGCAAGGATCCTCTAAAGTGATTTTTTCTTAAAGTTTCCTAGAGTGCTACATTGTGTGGTTGAGATTTATTGGCAAGTCACATCAGAAAAATTGATGTGACTTGCCAGTAAATCTCAACCACTAACACTTTAGGAAACTTTAGGAAAATTTCACTCTAGAGGATCCTTGGTGCAATTTTCAAATCCAGATCTCTTTTTGGTAAGTCACGGATGCTTGGCATTTCCACGGTCAGAAGTCGTCCACGTGGCCGAGTATGGCATGCTTTGGTGGTCGCGTGGAAACATCTAAACCGTTGGATAAACAAAAATGCTAGAGTCACCAAAAATTCTACTAAGTTTTACCAAATGTGGGTGTGGGACCCACCCACATTGTGGGGGTCCTGCACCCATAAAAGATATTTGATAAAATTTTTGATAGAATATTTGAGATCTCTAGCATTACTCTTGGATAAAAAGAAGTTTGACAAGTAGTAAATCCACCGTAGACACATTGGAATATGCTGTAATACTTCATTAGAGCTCCTTAATAACGCGTGGTTGGCACGAGCCAATAACATTTTAGTCACTTCGCTTATAATTTTTATTTTTTTTAACCCGTAACCAAAAATACTTTTTTATTTTCTGTATTTTTTTATTTTTATTGAATTTTTTAATATTTTTTAAAAAAAATTAATTTGTAGACACACATAACATAAATACACATAAAAAGTATAATTTTTAGAAAAAAACTTTTCAAAATTCAATAAATATCAAAAATACAAAAAAATAATAGAATTCAATATATTTTTTGTATTTTTATGTATTTATTAATTTTTTTAAATATTGTTTCACAATTTTTTTTTACTTTTTAAATATATCTAAGTAAGGTGAATCTAAAAAAGTAAAAAAAAATACTTAAAATTTTAAAAATATTCACTAAAAATAAAAAAACTCAATTTTCAAAATACTTAATTCAAAAAATTCAAATCAAACACACACATTATTGTTATATTTGTCATTTGATTGTTTTAATTAAAAATATTTTTAAAAAAAATTTCATTGTGTTTGGTTTCAATTTTTTGGATTTAATTTTTTAAAATTTAAATTTTTTATTTTTCGTATTTTTTATTTTTAGTGAATATTTTTAAAATTTTAAACAATTTTTTTACTTTTTTAGATACACCTTACTTAAATGTATCTTAAAAGTAAAATATTTTAAAAAATCAATAAATATATAAAAATACGAAAATTAATTTGAATTTTTATATTTTTGGTATTCAATAAAATTTTTAAAGATTTTTTCACAAATATTATACATTTTAAGTGTATTTATATTAGGTGTATTAAAAAAAATTTTAAAAAATCGCTTAAAATATTAAAAAAATAGTAAAAATAAAAAAAATGAAAAATAAAAAAATTAATTTTTTGAAAAGTGAATTCAAAAAACTCAAACTAAATAAGCTGATTAATTTTGCCTTCATATAAAGAAGAAAAAAGTCAATCAAAATTTTTTTTCTTAATTAAAATAATAATAACAATAAGTGAATTTAAGTGAATTTTTCATACTTCACAAATCACTAACCACACCGCCACTCCTTTAGGGGTTGTTTGGGGTGTCTTAAATAAGTATATTTTTTATCTTTTTAGACTAAAAAGTTGAGGTTGAAAATATGAATGTTTGAATTAACTTTTTGACTTTTTATGAAAAAATATGTATTAAAAAATTGTATAAATTAATGTATAAGAAAAAATTAAAATTAAGAATTGTACAATCATAATTATTGACTTTTAATAAATAATAATAACTTTTTAACTTTTTAAATAATTTTTTAATTTTTTAATTTTTTAATTTTTTTTTATGAGACTTTCCAAACTTGATCTTAGTTAACTTGCAATTTTCATGTGTTGGAAAATAAAGTGATTTGACCATACTTAAACATGAGCCCGATCTCCATTGGAACTCGTGTTTCCCAAGTTGAAGTTCGAATTTGTTTGGACTCAACTCAAATTGTCCAAATTTTTCTTTGATTGTTATTAACTAATGTATCACACTTTTTATAGGTAAAAATATATATTTTAAAAAATTACAATCATAAAACATAATAAAAAACCATTGGTTAATTGGAGTTAATGTGTACCAAGAAATAAAATATAGAGTTAATTATCTAAAAATTTTATTTACAAATACTATGGTAGCTCAAGTCTTTTTTTTTTAATTAATAAGTCTTATTTAGTAAAATTGAGAATATTATCAATTTTGTATAATAATATTTCAAATAATTATTTCACTAACTGATAAAAAAATAGAGTATGAGATTAAATATTTTTATCCTTCTACTTATTAGTTTAAGTCAATTATCTAATAAAATCGAAAATATTATCAATTTTTTCTAGTTTTAAAATTGAGAATATTATCAGTTTTTTTCAATTTTAAAGTTTTTTTTCAATTTTGCACATTAATGTTCTATCATCATACTCCTTTATAGACACAAATTTTTTAGTTTTATACAACAACAAAAAAATTCAATTTTTCAAAAAAAAAACATTCTTTTTTTTTTTTTGCACATAATTTTTTTTTTCAATTTAAAAGTTGGTGTTTAAAAGTTTTGAAAATCAAAAAAAAAATCAAATCATCATGTGCAAATTATAAATAATCATAAATGATGAATAATCATTATTTGAAAGGCAATTTCAATTATTAAAAATTTAATGAAACTTGCAGATCTAAAAAATCTTAATTATAACTTAATAGAGTATAAGTTCATAAATTATGACTTGTATATAAATGACCCTAAAATATATTGCATTGCAATATGACTTTATTGAAATGATAGAATTATTTTAACTCATAGCCAATCGAATT